TTTTTTTTTTTTTTTTTTTTTTTTTTTTTTTTGCTATTCTGGGTCTCTTCTTGTTCTGGATGAATTTCAAGATTGTTTTCTCTAGGAATGTTAGTATTTTCATTGGGATTGCATTACATATATATAGTAGTTTTGGAAGTTTGGGCATTTTGACAGTGTTGTCTTTGCATTTTCTGATTTCATCTTTGATCTGCTTTTTCAGAGTTTTCATTTTAGAGGTCGTCTTAGGTATTTAATTTTTTTGATGCTATTGTGAATGATATTATTTTTTTAAATTTTTTTCTCAGTTCATTATTGGTATACAGGCATATTGATTTTTGTATCTTGCTGTGCTACTGAATTTTTAAATTAATGGTGGAATTCTTTGTGTCTTATATGCAGAGGATTGTGTCTTCTGCAAATAATGATAATTTTGTCTCTTTTCTTATACATACTCTTTTCATTTTTTTCTCTTGCTTGATTACTGTGACTGATGTTCTGAGAACTGTATTGAACAAGAGTGGTGAGAATGGAAATCCTTGTATAGGTCCAGATTTTAGAACTTTTTTAGCTGTGATGTTGGCTGTTGGTTTGTCATACATGGCTTTTATCAAGTGAAGATAAGGTCCTTCTATACCTGTTTTTCTTAGGGTTTTTATCATGAATAGATGCTGGATTTTGTCAAAGGCTTTTTCTGCATCAATTAGGGTGATTATATAATTAATTTGCATATCACATTCTTCTCAACAGCACATGGGATCTTATTCAAAAGAGAAAACATGCTATAGAAAATAGAATCATATTTATTGATTTGCATATGTTGAACTATTCATGCATCCTTTGGATGAAGCCTACTCAGTCATAATGCATGATCTTTTTGATGGTTTGTTGCATTCTGTTTGTCTGTATGTTAGTGAGGATTTTTACATCTATTTTCATTAAAGAGATTGACCTGTAGTTCTCTATTTGACTGGATCCTTTTCTGGTTTGGATCAGGGTAGTGGTAGCTTCCAGGAATGACCTTGGTAGTACTTCTTTCCTTTCAGTTTCACTCAGGAACTTGAGGAATATTGGCTTTAGGTCTTCTATAAAGTTATCATAGAATTCAGCAATGAATCCATTGGGTCATGGACTCTTTATAGTTGATAGTAACTACTGCTTCAATTTCAGTAATTACTGCTTCATTTATATCTTCTTGGTCTATCATTGGATTTTATATATTAATCCAGTCTGCCTGTCTTTTGATTGTGAAATTGATACTGTTCACATTGAATGTTATTGCTATAAGGTATTAACTTATTCCTGTAATAGCATTATTTTCCTTTTGATGATTTTCTCCCCCTTCCCTTTTCCTTAATTGCTCACCCTGCCTGGTAAATTCATTCTGTTAGACTTTTTGGCATTATTGGTTTTGTTTTCCTGAGGAAATCTGTTAGTAATTTTGATCATGTTGGTTTGGTAGTCATGAATTTCTTAAGGTGCCATTTATTATTGAAAGACCATATTTCTCCACCAGTTTTGGAAGATAATTTTGCAGAGTATATACCTGAGTTAGAAGTTTTTAGGGCTTGAAACACATCCCTTGAAGAGCTCGTGGCATTTAAGGTTTGTCTGGAGAAGTCTGCTGTTATTCTAATGTGTTTACCTTTATGAGTGGTTCATTGTTTTCTCTTACAGCTTTTAATGTTTTGACTCTGTTGGATCAGTTTTTTTGTCTATATGATGTTATGTAGTTCTGTTTTGATTATGGCTATTTGGAATTCTGTATACTTCACTTTAATTCTGTCTATATATTTGGAACATATGCTGTTATTTCTTTTTTATGCCATGTTTGCTGTGTTACTTTTCACTAATTCCCTTTAACCTTACACTTCTTTGCATCATCTAGCAGCTGTTAGGTGTTTCTCATGTTCTCTCTTGTTTTTAAGGTATCTTTGAATAATAGGTTTCTGATTCTTCCACTCTGTCCTCATGTTGGTCACTTCTGCTGCCAGTAATTTCGGTAGAATTTTTAATATCCTTGGTTTCTGTTTGGTACCTTTCCATGGACTTATAATTCTTTGCTAAACAAGTCATTTGTGTTTTGTATGTTTTTGTTTAACTTATCTAGCTTTTTTAGTGTCTTCTGTAACTTTGAAGATTGTTTTGCTTATTAAATCCATTATCGTGTGTGTGTGTGTGTGTGCGCGTGTGTGCGTGTGCTCACTGAGCACCTTACTGATGTGTATTTTTAATCTCTGTTGTCCTTGTACTTTTGGCTTTTTATTTCCTCTCCCTTGATTCCCCATGATTCAAGTTTGGGAAAGTTGAGTTTTGGAGGCATTTTGTTGCTTTATTATCTCATGTTTCTATTGTTTCTCTGTTTTGTGCTGGTTTGTGTGCCCTTGTATTGGAAAGACTTTGTTGCCAGTGTAGGGATCTCTTCAGTTAGTGTCTGCTTTTCAGTGATGCATTCTTGGCCTGGGTATCTATAGGCCTTTCCCTCTGTCCCAAGATCCAATCACCTCCATTAATTTGGGATGGGAGTATGCAGTGTAATTGGCTCACCCTGTTCTCTTGGTTTAGACAGTAGTATTGTTAATGACACAAAGATAATCTGGATATTAGTATAAATCAGTATTAGTATTAAATCAGTTAATAACAACAATTATGCCTCCCTACTAAATCAGCAGCAGTAACACCCAAGATGAACTGGACATTGAAGAACCATAGAACCCCTAATGTACCACCTTCAACCATAGAAAAGAGATCTATAATTATAGCATAAACCCTAGGGCAAACCAGATATTGATAGATGGCAGATATCTACTAAATAGCCACTAAACGAAAAGAAAACAAAAGTTCAGGAAGAAATTTTCTCTGTATTTCTCCATGTGTGATTTCTTTGCAGGATCTACAGTTTTGAAATCCTCTCAATTCTCAGATATCTACGTGTTTTTTTTTTTTTTCCTTTTATGCGAACTTGTTATTTTTCAAGTGTCTCGATTATGGATCCTGCAAAGGCTGTATTTTACTGTTGATCACTACTCTGCCATTTTGGTTGTCCCCATTTTGGCACATTTTTAGAAGTTTATTTAACTTTTAAAAGTCAGTGAATTTTTATAGTGATCGTTACTGTATTGTATTGTGGTACATTTAACTTCATGCTAAGTAAAGAATGTATCAGAAGAGTGCTGAGGTTGTAACTCTGTGGTAGAACACACACTTAGCATGTATGAGGCCCTAAATTCTATCCCTAGCATCTGCAAAAAAAGAAAAATATCCACACACACACACATTTACACACATGTATCAGAAGAGAACATGGACTTAATTCCTTTAGAGACTACCTTCCTGCTTTCCTTTTTCATTTTTTTCTTGCCTGCTTTTGTTTTAAAATGATAAGGAATTTTCAATGGTAATACAAAGTTGTGGAAAGGTACAGTGGACTAAACATTATTTTAAGAATTATTTAAGGTGTTTTTTTGTATACCTTTCTGTCAATCTTTATTATTTTTATCTACTAGACACAAGTTTCTTGGAAAGAAGTGTGTTTAATTTTTACTATATTTTCATTTTTTTAGCATATTATCTAGTATATACTTGGGACACAATCTGTTGAATGAAAAAAGTACATATTTCTAAATGAACAGTACATTAATACAGTTTTATAGGAATGTATTGTTCCCTTGTCTTTTTAGTATTGTTAGTCTTAATGATCTTTCAAAGCTCTCGTATATAACAGAAAATAAATTGATGGTAAACATAGATTGAACGGATAATGTTCTCATGCTTTGTTTTTTAAATGTAGGTACTCTTAACCTTGTGATTCCATGGAAAAACCTCTATACTCAACCAGTTGAAGCTGTATTGGAAGAAATTTATTTGCTCATAGTGCCTTCTTCTAGTAAGTAAAACTCTCTTTTTAAAAATTTCTTCACGGTAGAAAACAAGAATTGTAAAGTACAAGCTAAAGAGTTGGCTAACAGAAAATGATCCAGAAAACTGGTCAGTATGTCCTACTGATAATGTCACTGACTTGTGAATATTGGAAAAAAATACTAAATTATTCTTTTGTAGATGAAAAAGCCTTTATATATATATTTTATACATATATTTGCTCATAATGCTTTTGTGGAATCTTGAGATATTTTAATATTTGCTTTTAGTATTTGTTCAAATTTATTCTAAATTTTTGTAGACTGTGAATTAGAAGTTATTTTCAAAGATAGTTTTTTGGATGAGTATTTTACAATTTAAGATTCTTTTTGTGCTTCATGCAGGAATAAAATATGATTCTTTAAAAGAAGAAAAACAACTCATGGAAGCAAAGCAGCAGGAATTAAAAAGAATAGAAGAAGCAAAACAAAAAGTTGATCAAGGTAAAGAAAATAAATACCAGTGATTATAGAAGTCATAAATATTTATCATAATAGAATATTATTTCTGTCTAGAAGTAGCTGAGATTATTTAACAAATATGAGAGAATGTTATTACATAGTGTGTACAGAAATTTTACCTTGCAGACATTTATCTTAAGGCAAATATTATGCCTGGCTTATAAGGGTAAGGTTTGTTTTTATCATTGCAATTATTTTTATCCAGACTGTTCTTATATTTACTGATTTTGCTCTTTTATTCCCCTTATATTACTTCCTTATGATTTAGGGTACTTAGTCTCCTGATATATTTAGTTTTGTCTCAATCTTGTTTGTTGTTCCCCTGGCTTTACATCTTTTTTCTATTTAACCTACACCATGGACCATTACTACAGTTGGTTTTTCATCAGTGGAAAAAGTGTCCTTTAGCAGTTTAATTCCTGGGCTGGGGATTTAGCTCAGTGGCACCATGCCTGCATGGGAAGTGCAAGGTCCTGAGTTTGATTTCCAGTTCCTTCCACCACCAAAAAATCTAATTCCTTTTTACCTATCCATTGTCATTATCACAGTTAATTTTTACATTCTGACTCTTGTTCTCCTATTTGGTCTTTTTTATTTTATGAATGTATTATAGCCTTTTCTTATTTTAAAACATAAAGTCACCTCCTTAGCTTACTCATCTTCATCAAATAGTTAAGCCTCTTAAAAGTATACATATGTTGACTTCATTGTCCTTGCCATGCATTAATTTTTTAAGTGAAAATTAAACTTGAACAATAATATCTTACCTGTTAATAAACATTAGTGAAGATTTAACATAGTCTCTGGCAATATTATGTGTAATTCTATTTTCTTTGTCACATTTCTTTCATATCTTAGGTAGTTGTTCAGCCCTAACCTAAGTCTTCTCTTTGCTAAGTCTCCTAAACTTTTTCCTTTCAAAAATTATTTTTGGCCAGGGATTTAGCTCAGTGGTTCTGCTGTCTGCCTCACAAGCACAAGAACCTGAGTTCAATCCCAGGTACCAAAACATAAACAACAAAAAAAAACTCAAATAATTTTTATTTTGTCAAGATAATAATACTGCTTTAAAAACTACCCAGAACTCATAGTAGAAAAATAAAAAATTGGTTTCCTTGACTCAGCCTTGCACCCTACTCCCTCCAAAGTATCATTGCTACATAAGATACTCACTTGGTTTATTAAATATGTGGGAAGTGCTTCATTTTGTAATGGACTCTGAAGGTTGGCCAAGTAGTATAATGTTTACTACTGAGCCAAGAAGTATACTTTACTACATAATATACTCTAACTACCTATAGTTGCTAGCCCAACTTTGTTTTTTGCTTGGTAAAGGTAAGTGGATGTGGGTATGACTTTATTATGTAGACTGTTATTTAATCTCTGTTTTGGTAGAAGCCTTAGCCTTTCCCTCTGTGCAATGCACTTCAAGGGTCTGAAGCCTGTAGGCTTCTATGTATTTTATAAAATAGTAAGCCCTTGCTTTCTAGGTTAGAAAAGGGGTATTCATTTGACTGTTGGCTTGGGAGAGAGGAATAGTAAAAGTTTTAATTTGCTCATTATATAGACTTTAAACCGATTCTTACATTATGTCTTACTTCACTTCCTTATGCCTTGTTCACTGATGGCCGTTTTTTTTTCTGTGGAATCTCAAATTTCTGAATGTTTCTAGGATTGTGTTTGTTAACTGATCCTCTGTTTCAGTGACATTTCCATGTATGTTCATTTAGGATTTTCTTTTTCTCTGTGTTGGCAACGCCATCTGTTTTTCATTTTCTAAATTCTTTTTGCTTCTTTGTGTATTATTCTATCTTCTTTCTTTGACTTTGGGGATTTAGTCATTTTTTTTAAACCCTTATTTTTTGCTTTAATGAAGTTTTACTGAGGAATAGAGAAGTGCATGCAATATGTATGCCATGTTTGATGAGAAGTCTGTCCTATGTATAGCTACTCTAAAATATAAATTTATTTTTATTTATTTATTTATTTATTTAGAGACAGGATGGTTTTGCTGTATAGTTCTAGAAATCACTGTGTAGCACAAGCCAGCATTGAACTCTTGGGAATCCTCTTGCCTCGGCCTCCTGAGTCCTGGAATGATAGGCATGTGCAACCATGCCTAGCTCAAAAATATAAATGTTCCGTCATGCTTAAATTCATAGCTAATCCCTTAACAGGATAAAGTTTAAACTCTTCAGTAAGATATATAAAAGCTCTCATGATTTGAATCCTGTCTCTCTAGCCTCATAAATGGCCCCAAAACTTTTATTTTTTGGTGTAGCCATATTAAACTATTTGGTAGTTTTCTGACTATGCCAAATTCTCCGTGGTCTATATTTCATTTCCTTCCTTTTTTTGGCGGGGGTACCGGCGATTGAACTCGGGTCCTTGCTCTTGCAAGGCAGGCCACTGAACCGCTGTGCTAAATCCCCAGCCCTTTATTTCCTTCTTTATTCAATATTCACTTGAGAGTTATCAGCATTAGGTGATAGTTTAGACCAGTGATGGCGAAACTTATAGAGACTTAGTACCCAAACTGCAACCCCAAACCCACTTATTTTTTGCAAAATACCAACACTGCAGTTAAATCTGAATACTGAGATTTTAATTTAGGAAAAACAACTCACACACTTGTGTAGTGTGCTCATAGGGTGGACTTTGTGTGCTTGCTCTGACATACGTGCCCATAGGATCACCACCAGTGGTTTAAACTCTTAAGATGTGAATGAGGTTCCTTACAGTACAGAGTAAGAAAAACATAGGAGTATGCCTTCAGGAAATTCAACATCTGTTAATTGTATAGAAAAGGAAAATGGACAAAAGAATAGTGAAAATAGACAAAAGAATAGTAAAAATAGAGTGGCCCTACAGTAGGGAATTTGGAGTTTATGGTTCCATGGGTGAAAAGCTGTTTTAAATTATGAAAATAACATATCAAATCCTGACAAGATGTCAGGTAAGATGAAGATTAACAAATTAATCCTCATGTCTGTTAATTTAGAAATGACTGAATTTATAGGAAAAAGGCAGTTATTATTTGCTGGTGGGATTCAAAGAGCTTGTATTTTGTTGCCTGTTTCACTTAATTGTATGATCCTTTTATATTCAGATATATTCACAACTCATATTTACAGCTCATATGGTTGATATCTTTGTAATTTTCATTTATCTAATATTCCTCAGGTGAATTAGGGAGTATAGATTATTAGAAGAAAGTGAATATGTGTATTATCTATACAGAGGACTAGGAATACTAAAGGGGCAAGACTAGAAATATAAAAAGAAATGGTTTTCATTGGCACTTTTGAAAAGGGAAAAGACATAGTAACTAGTAGCTATCAAAGGCATATTTTAAAGAACTTATGATCCTATATTTGTTCTGTTCCTCTGGGAAATGTTGAAAGTAGAAATAGTATCATTTTATTAAAAATGAAACATGAACTTTTCTCACCCTTGTTTGAAAAGAGACGAGAAAGTATAATTTCATATAGGGAGGAATGTGCTGTATACAACTATTTTGTGCATTAAGCACAGATAACTTACAATGGCATCAGTATTCTTGCTTTGATGCTCTCACTGGCTTTTCTAATTTAAGCCTATTGTAATTCTTTATATTCACTGTTTTTCATATCTTTACTGAGGCACAGATAACAGATTATAACTATATAAATTATAAATTATATAATATATAAAATTGTATGTATTATATATAATTACATATAGATTATAAAGTTTAGTGTCAATAAATTTTATGTAGTGGCTTTAGTCTTTTTGAATGAGAAAACTAGTTTTTGAAAAATTGGCACATTCAGTTGGTTTTGAAAGTTGGTTGGAAAGACTTTGGAAAGCAGGCTATTAATGTTCTATTTACAAATATGTATAATTTTTCTTTAATAAGGGAATATATTCAATATATGGACATTATAAGCTATATATTTCATTGAAGTTGAATATTTGTAATTGTAGAACAACATCAGAATGAGAAGCAAGACACTTTTGCAGAAAAATTAGTCACTCAGATCATAAAAAATCTTCAAGTGAAAATTTCCAACATTCATATCCGTTATGAAGATGATGTAAGTATCTTAGTATGTGATTTTTAAAATATATGTAAATTATTTTACTGTTTATGGGCACTGTGTAATGACCAATCAGATTGCTGGGAGGTAGAGAAATAGATGACATCATTTTTCTCTTTTATAATTGTAGTTGTGATTTTTAGTCCTTAGCAACAAGTGCTTGGTTATATTTTCTTTAAGTTGTTAAAACTTAAGGTTAGAAAGAAAGATGCCTTGGGATTTACAAATTTCAGTTGTACATTTTTAAATATGCTATTTTTAACCTCTTGGAAAGCACATTGGTTTATGAATCAGTAGAGCTAGACCTGTTTGATTTTAAATACTTCATTGTTCCCTTAAGCTTTGTATTAATATTATTATTAGTGTCAATCTTTTTATAAAACTTTGTATAAACTGAAAATATAGGGGTATAATACAACACTAATACATTAATATGGAGTATTTCAATTTGTTTTAGAAAAAATATAGGAACAAAAGTTATTTGGAAAACTAGTAAACTGTTTGTTTTTAATATTTGAAATAGGATATTTCCCGCAAGTTAAGATTTTCTGTTTTGTCCAAATGCTTAAAAATCTGCATATGATTTACTTTTTTTTTCCTCTTTAGATTACAAATCGAGATAAACCACTTTCATTTGGTATTTCCCTTCAAAATCTCAGCATGCAGGTACTCTACAAAAGTTAACTACGTAATAGTTTATTTCTTGTGTTTTGACCACCAATACACTTTTAGAAAGCAAAGATATTTTTGTGGTTATTTAATAGTCTTTGAATGATATGTTTTCAAAGATATATCATGGGAAATTGCTCTTAGAATGTAGTGTATTGTTAGTAATACCTTACATCTGTGTATGTGCATAACAAAATTGGGCTTCTAATGGCCTTTTAAATATAATGATCTTTTTTACTGCTATTTTTTTTTCCTTTTCAGACAACAGATCAATATTGGGTTCCATGTTTACATGATGAAACTGAGAAACTAGTTCGTAAGGTAAAATAAATACCCTTAGACTTGATGAAAAAAATAAAGACAAGTGATAACATTCACATAAATACAAATTTATGTGAATTGTGTTTATTTGCTGAACTCTGATATGGCTCACTTAATTACTTAAGACTTATGAAAATAGCATATGTTAAAATGTTTCAAAGAAAATGAGACATTAATAAACTTGATTTATTTTCAGTTAATTCGATTGGATAATCTTTTTGCCTATTGGAACGTGAATTCTCAGATGTTTTATCTTTATGATTATGATGAATCATTGGTGAGTTCTTTTGATATGTGCATGTATATATCTGTATTGTATTTAAGGCATAATTCATTGTCAGTAATCTAAATATTAGCATTGTTTTCTTGGAAAAATTCATTATTATTTATAAAACATGGTGAGTTGTACAAATACACCTTAATAGCCACCAGAGCATTCTTTTGTAGTAGTTTAATGATATGTTTAACCACTTCAATATTTTTCCATAGCTAAGTCCTCCTGTTTGAATTTATTTTTAAAATTGCTTTTAAAGATATCTTACAGATAATAGAATTTTGTAGAGTAAATATATTGGCATAAATGTAAATAAAAGCAATTTGTTTTTTAATAGGACAGCTTGAAGAATGGTATTGTCAGTGAAAACATTGTTCCAAGAGGTTATGATTTTGGTAAGTATATTTCATAAAATAGGAAATTTGAATAAAGTCATTAATAAAATTTGCATTAATATTGCTGATATCTCTGAATTTTCTGTTATATTAACTATTATACGTGTGTGTGTGTGTGTAAAATTACCTTTTCTATATGTTTTATTGTGGGGGAGCTTTTGGTTATATTTCAAAGCTGTGGGGGGATTCTTTATAACCATGTGTGTGATACTGAGGAACCCAAGACCTAGAGCATCTTGGACAAGTGCTGTACCATTGAACTGAGCCCCGAGGCCTGTATGCTCACTCTTAAAGCATTATCTCTATTGTTTTTAATTTGGTTTCATTTTCTTAATTATTTTCTTTTAGGAAATGAACAGATGAGTTATTTGTTGTTCATGTTAATGATTCTCAAGTTTATTACTTTAGGTTTGACTTCTCTTTTGCACCAAAGTCATTTTACGCTAAATTAAGGTCCAGTGAAAAGGAATTGCACAGTAATTTAAACAAGGAATGTTTAATATAAAGAATTACTAACAATAAGTGTGAATTGCAGTAATAGGAGCTTAGTTAGTAAAAGGTAGAGTGAATGCTGAAGAGTATAGGTATAGTAAGAAAAAGAAACAACCCCTTCCTTCAGGTCAGGATGGAATATCTAAAGAAGAAAGCCCCTCCCCTCAGGCCTGAGATCTAGACCTTGTTGAAGAAGATAGTTTTGGCTCACTGAATGGTAGGAAAGTCTATGCTGTGCTGGCAAAACTTGTTGGAACTCACCTTCTGTAATGTTTTGGAAATTCTTTACTGAGTCTTATTGGATAGTGTCTCATTGCATGTGTTTCACTGCAGAACTTCCTTAACATGGTACTGGGGGAGTTGCTAGCTGCTGTACACTGCAGAAGGTGATGCTAAAGAAGTCCAGCATGTTGTAGAAGCCAGATACTAGAGAAGCCACCCACCTGTACTGTAGGAACTGGGAGTTAAGAGAGAGGTGCCTCTGCAGAAGCTTGTTGGATGTGTATGCTGGGAACAGGCAATGTAACTCGTCCCTTCTATGGTATCTTGACAGTGTTTTGTAGTGGTAAAGATTAATGTGGTAGCTGGTACAGAAAAAAAATATTTAAAGGGCCTGAAACTGTTTTTCACAGCAGATATTAAAGGGTGAATTTGAATTTGGAGCTCAGAGGCAATAAATTGACAATTGGCATACTCACTAGGAAAGGAAAAGGATCTGAAGGTGGGAGTGTCTGTCTTTCTCTTTCTACCTCTGTGTTTCAATAGGAGAAATTACAGTATACTTGTAGGCTGATCTGGAAATGATCTAATACAATGCGAAAAATTAATGATTCAGGAGAGATAGGAGAATTTCTGAATTGGTCAGGTAAAAAGGGGTTGGTATATAGTATACAGGTGGAGAGTTTAGCCACAGATAGAAACGTGGTCAGTTCATCTGTAAGATACAGTTTAGTCATGTGAGAATTTCTAGTATTGGCTAGATGAGTAGGTAGGCAATAGAAGTTCATGGAATTTCTTTTCTGAGTTCTTTTTATTTTAACCCCAGATGTTGAAGGTTTTTTGAAAGCTCATTGATAGACACGTATGAGAGTGGGAGAGTGAATCAACTAGAGTACTGTTCGTAAAATTGGGTCCAACTAGTAGCATTAGCATCATTTGGGAAATTGCTAGAAATATACATTTTTAGAGTATATCCCAGGGGCATACTGAATTAGAATTTCTTGGGGGCTCACCAGTTGACGTCTTAACTCCAGGTGATTCTGATCAGTAATTTTGAAAACCACTTGGTTAGAGTAGGGGTTGGGCGTTAAATAGTTTACATTTAGTAGCAGTCCATATTCAGTCTCTGGTACATATTCTTTTTTGTTTCTTTTAAACAATCCTTTAAAAAGTCTACAAATCATTCTTGGCTAAAAGACCATACAAATGTAGGCTGTGGCATAGATTTGGTCAATTCCTGGATGTTGTGTTATTGCTCTGCAGCATTAGGACTTACTGAAGATTTACATTAATGTGTGGCTGATATTTTCTTTTGAGCCATTATTTAGCTGCTACATATATGTGAGGAGTAAGTGCGTTTAGCTGATCAAGTATGGACAAAGTGAGAAGTATAAAGGATTTAAAGATAAATGCAAGAAGATTAAAATGACTGATGATGGGAGGATGGGATTGGGCTGGGATGGAGGAAAGTTAATGAATGGATACTAAATTGTAGTTAGGAACAAGAAGTTCTGGTATGCTGTTAAACAATAGGATGACTATATGATAATATTGTGCTGTACACTTCAAGACCTAGAAAAAAGGATTTAAAATTTTTTACCATAAAGAAATGATAAATGTTTCAGGAGACAGATATATATATGCATATCAAAAGAGTATGTATTACCCCATTATTAGGTACAGTATCTGTGTTTTGCCTCATTAGAAAATGTGTAGGCCTTCAAAACAGTAAGAAAAATGCTGATAGATTTTTAGCAGAGTAAGGATGGAACTGAGGATATGAAGCAGAAGTGAAGAATAGAGAAAAGGTAGCATATCAATGATTGTATTCAGATAAGTATTTTTGAATGCTTAAGGTTTGAAAACTTAGGTGCTAGTACTTTCAGGTAATTAAAATGAGAGTATACGAATGTGTATACAAATTAGCTTATAATGTAATATTTAATCTCTGTCTGGATTCTATTTCTGATCTCTGCACAGTTACTATTTTAGCACTATTGATTGAGCCAAGCAGGCAATCTTAGGTACAATCCCATTTTCTCTTCCCTTTTATTAAAAATGGAAAGGAGGAACAGGTGGACACAGGAGATTTGAATTCAGAAACTCAGATAACTTCAGCATAAAATGGAGGTTAATTATAAACTCTTTTCCTCAGCATTTCTAAAATTGATTCTCATAAACAGTATACTTATATCAAAACCACTTTATTGGGCTCTTGTCCTTTACAGTGAATATTCCTGCTTTTAAAGATTATATTGATGTTTTGAGTAGTTTAGTAAGCCTTTATTTGTACTGTAAAACACAACAAGAATTATAAGTACAAAAAAGTTAAAAGAATCTCCACTAGCTAAGGAACAGTTATGGCAGTGTGGATATTTGGGAACTATAGAGGGAATAAAATAAATAGAAATCAGTGTTTGAAGCTTGCTCCTTTTAGTGCCTTGAGACTTTTGAAATATGACTTCATTTAATATTTTTAATTTGTGTTATTTTCCAGTATTTCGCCCCATATCTGCTAATGCCAAGCTCCAGATGAATCGCCGATCAGATTTTGACTTTTCTGATCCCAAAATAAACTTGGAGGTTGAGTTACATAACATAGCAATTGAATTTAATAAACCACAGGTGAGTTTCTTTGATTACATTAAAAATTGGTGAATTTAAAAGTTTTTAAATTAAGTTTTATTTCATAAAAGCAAAGCTATTTTTCTAAAATTCTTGTTATAAGGTACATTTCTTTTAAAAGTTGATAATTTTTATTTTCAACAATTGAACAGAAATTTTGAAGCATTTAAGAGTTAATTTTTCCATTCTTCAGTATTTCAGTGTTGTGGAGCTTCTTGAGTCAATTGATATGATGAAACAAAATCTGCCTTACAGGAAGTTCAAACCTGATGTGCCTCTTCACTTCCATGCCAGAGAATGGTAAAATGCCTTAATGATTTTACTTTTAAAAATTAGGACATAAAAATAAGTTTAATACTTTTTTTTTTTTTAGTTTAATACTTTTTTAAGATACTATTTAAAAACTCTGTCACTGCAACAAAATACTTGCTGCCCAAGAGTGTATTTTACATTTAAAGTGTGTTTGGCTGACAAGTTCCTGGGGGCTAAGTCTACAGTTGGCTTGCTCCAAGGCAGACTTGGCGTGGTGCAAGGGTGTGGCAGAGGAAAGCTGCTGTTCACCCCATGGTAGCCAGCCAGGAGTCAGAGAAAAGAGACAGGACCAAGACACTCCTTTCCAGATTATATTCCAGTCTCATAAGACATTTGAGATACACCATAACAGATACACATTTTCTGGTCTGATACCAAGTACATAATTTGTGGCTAGCAGTGTATGTAAGTACTTGTGCTTATTGTAATGAAAATTGACTCAAGGGATTCTTCATAACAGCATAACTGGGGATATTAAAATGTCATAATTTTCAGTTATATAGATGAATCAGTCCTTTTGCAACTGTTAAACTATTTTGGTTTTTCATCGTTTTCCTTACTTGCTCCCATCCCCACTTGTCTTCCTTCTCACTTTTCTATCAGATTCACTAAGCCTTTAGTACTAAACTTCGATTTTAAAACCTGTAAAGGATATGGAAAAATTCAAAAGTCTTAGTCGTTTTTATTCTTTAGTTACTTGAAGTTGTAATTATTCTTTCAGTTTACTTTTTCAATTCTTCAAGCGAGTAACATGTTGTGAGATACTGTAATGCCTTGATAGTTCTTTTATAGAGTATATTCTAAACAAAACTGAATGGTTTTGCTTATTTCCACTTTGGAAAAAGGTAAAGTCAATAATGAATGGTTAATACAGGGTTCGGGAAAAGTAAGCATTCAGATAATACTTGATTTTTCTAGTCTCTGTTTATTATGTGTACTTTAGAGTTCATACTGTTGATCTGAGAGTTTAAGTATGGAGTTTTCCTTTGTCTTTTTTTTTTAAATACTAGGTGGTGTTATGTTATACATGGTGTTCTTGAAGTAAACGTGTGCCCCAAATTACGAATGTGGTCATGGAAGCATATTAGTGAACATAGACAAAAAATGAAGCAGTATAAAGAATTGTATAAAAAAAAGTTAACAAGTAAGAAGCCACCTGGTGAAATTCTCATGTCTTTGGAGGTTAGCATTAAAATACTGTGATTGAATATTTTGTACTGTATTAATCCTCAGTCTTTATTGAGTAAGGCTGATTATGTGCTATAATTTTTACTGGCCATGCTCTCTTTTATTTAGACATTTTTGTGCTCTAATATACTCATTTAATATAAGATCTGGTGAAATTCTGTTAACTTTTACAATTTAGTAGAGAATTTTGAATCTTAAGGAATTTGGGTTCATGAACATACTAATTTGAAGCTTCATTTTATATCATTCTTAACCTCAAAACCTTAAAGATTTTCACTACGTCCTTTCCAAATTTCTCTGTAGATTTCAAATCTGTAAATTATCTGGCACCAGCCCATTTCTGTTTTGTTATTGTCTGACTGTACATTAAGTTTTCTGTCTTTTATATGTGCAGTTTTAGTTGTTATAGGTATGCCTAAGCTCAAATGTTCCATCTGTCTTTCCTTGTCTTTCTACTGTCCCAATTCTGCTGTTTTGCTTAAGTTCTATCTGTTCTAAAGTTCTTTCATTAACTTTCCTGTACTTAAATCCTATCTCTTGCCTGAACTTTCTGGCCTTATGGAGCTTTTTCCTCTTAATTCTTGTGTATCTCTAGCAACTTTGTATTTAATTATCTGTCTTGAGGTGTTATTCTTATATTAGTCATATCTTGTAGCATTTTGACATATTTTAAAAGGCACTATTTTACCAGATGAATTAAATCTAGTTTAGAGAGACATATGGTAGTTATCTTCTTGAAATTAATGTAACTATTCTGAATCTAGAACAGATTTCCAGTTTGTAGTAAAAAAGTGGCTTGAGCATGAAACTTAAAAGTAATCTTAAGAATGGATAGCTATGACGAAATATTTAGTTTATCTCAGCTTATTTCAATAGCCGAAACATCTTTGTAAAATAAACAAGTTAAAAACAAGTCTTAAGTGTATCTACTTGGAATATCCTGATGATGGCATCTGAACTGTTATGTTTTTAGTTAAAAATAACATTATGTTTATGCTTAGATATAGTTAAAACCCAGGTAAAAGTAATTTGTAAAATGTATGTATGGTATCTTTCAATATGTGTCTGTAACTCTGTTTATAGTTGTAACTTTTATATGCCCAACAGGTCTGGTTTCTTTGTTCAAAATTATATTCTGTTGTACTAATTTTCAAACATTATATAAACACTGTCTTCCAGAATTTAACAAATATATCTTACATTGACTGGGTGTTCTGTTGTCTGCTTCTATCCTACGTTTTCATTAGTGTAGAAATTTTATTTATATATATAATTATACATATATAATTATGTGACATTGACATTTCCATTTCCATTTTCAGGAGTTGGAGAAAACCTTGGATATCTTTAATATAACTATAGCTAGACAACAGGCAGAAGTTGAGGTAATTTTACATTATCATTCAGTTATTAAGAATAAATCTAAATTCTATATGGATATGACAGATGCTTTGATGTTATTAATATGCTGAAAAATACTGTTTACTTCAAAGAGTTCAATCTTTTGTGTGTTATAGAAAATTTGAATTAATCTTTGCCACATCCATGTAAAATCAGACAGGTTTTTATAGAAAAAATTTAGTAATAATTGGGGTTACCATAAAGGTGAAAAGCCATTTTTTTCCCCCTACTAATTACCGTGTCTCATAAGACAGTAGGGAAGCTATGTGGGTAATCCAGAATTCTTGCTGGCTGATGTTGCAGTTATTATGTGCTGTTATTTGTGTATCTTGTTTATGTTCATTCATTTAGGTGGATACATTCTGTGAATATATGCTTGTTCTTTTGATTGCTTAAAAAAGAGTAACTTTTTATTTATGTGAAAATTTAATCATTTTAGGTAAAGAAAGCTGGATATAGGATTTATAAAGAAGGAGTAAACGATCCAGAGGATAATAAAGGATGGTTTAGCTGGCTGTGGACTTGGTCAGAATCAAAAACCAACAAGACTAAACAGCAACCAGATGTTAAACCTGGAAGTATGTTAATTTCATTTTATAGTATTGTAGTTAATTATCAAGTGTGAAAGTTTTTCTGAGTACTTTCTCTGTAATTAAAATAAATGTGTGTATCTATCTATATGTATATGTAAAATGATATATTGTTTAAATTTATGATAAAGTTTTAAGTCTAAAATTTTGCCTTCATTCTTTTTTTTTCTTTTTTAACTTAAAGCAACTATGATTTCTCTTCTATTGATTTACAGGGTGATTCTTTTTTAAATTATAATTATTCAGTCATATTACTTGTACAGATCAATGGGTTTCATACATGCATTTTAAATGTATATGTTAATTTTTAAAAAATCTTAACTAGTGCTTACAGAAGAACTTTATATCCTGAAGATTTCATGAATGCATTTGGTGTAGTACTCGTATACCATTTGAACTTTCAATTGAAATTGTTTCTTTTAAAGAGTTTTATTTCTTAAATGCTTAGGGTCATAGCTTTGGGACTTAGATGTACATCCTGGATCTATCACTTGTTGGCCCTGGCAAATTAGTTAAGTTCTCTAAACCTGTTTTATCATCTGTAAATTGGGAGGAAATTAATACTTCCTCTACCTATTTTGTATGTTCAGTGTATTTCTTAGTACAGTGGCATTAACTGCCCAATACAGTTAGTCCTTTTTTGAACTCCTGACTAATACAAGCATTTAGAAATTTGCTAAATATGTATGTTTAGTAACTTACATTTTTGGACAGTAACTTCTAAAATTGCCAATACTATTCTAACATTCATTGGTTCTGAAAAGTAATAGAAAAAAAAAAGTAAACTTTGCATTTTATTTATAAAGGTAGCTGAATTACATTTTATATTGTTACTGCATAAGAACATGAAATACCTCTTTATGATTTGTAGTTCTTGAAGAAATGTTGACACCCGAAGAAAAAGCTTTACTCTATGAAGCAATTGGCTATAGTGAAACAGCAGTTGATCCAACTTTGCCCAAAACAGTAAGATGTTTTCTTGATTTATAACTCCGAATTTAATATTAGATATGCCTATTATAATTCTTTCAGATATGTATACTAACTTGCTCTGGGATCTTTTTCTGGGTCCATCAGTATTTCATTTTAATTTCCAAATTTGAATAGAAGTTATTTTATTTTTTGATGCTAAAGTGTTGATTCTTTAAAAGTATATTGTTTTTTAAATTAATGGATTATAAAAATAAGATTATATGTTGCATGTATATATAGTATGTGTGTGTATATATGTATTTTTTTTTATCTTTATTCTTCTATATACTCTAGTTTGAAGCCATGAAGATTTTCATTCATTTGAAAAGCATGTCTGTTGTTCTAAGAGAAAGTCACCAAAAACCTGAGCTCATAGACATTGTTGTAGAAGAATTTAGCACTTCAGTTGTGCAAAGACCAGGAGCACAAGCAATAAAGTAAGTATTAATTTATTTTTCTTTATAGATCAAGCAGTTCTAATTTGAAAATCTGAAATCCAAAATCTGGAACTTTTTGAGTGCTCTCATCATGACACTAGTAGAAAATTCCAGACTTGAGCTTATGTGATGGGTCAGAGTTGAAGTGCAGTTGCACTAAAAATGTTTTATATAATTACCTTCAGGCTCTGTACATGAGGTTTATATGAAATACAGATTTTGTGTTACCTTATGCATGTGGAGATACTACAAGACCCCAAAAAAATCTGAAGATGTTTTAGAAATACATATTTCTGATGTTAGGCATTTCAGATAAGGGATAATCAACCTGTGCTTTAAAAGAAAAAAAATTGACTATAAGGTTGAAGTTTGGGTCACAGTTTTTAAGTCTTGTATATATGATAGTTTCATGTATCTGTACATGTGATTTTAGGAGCTTACATTTTTTTTTCCAGTAATAGATTGTATATCTTTTGGAATTACTAATGGTTTATTTATTTTTAATGTCTTACAATACATTTTTAGTAGAAAACTGCATGCCAGTGAAATGTAGAGCACTAGAGAAAAATGTAAAATGTTTGGCAGTTGTACCACACAAAAAGAAATATTAACAATGTTGTTTTTAATGTGGGAAAGTGTTTATTTTGCTCTTGTTTTTAAAATAGCACTATTGAGGGGGCCACAGATTTAGCTTAGTGCTCCCACTGCTTGCCTCACAAGCTCAAGGTCCTGAGTTCGATCTCTGGTACTCCTCCACCCCAAAAATAGCACTATTGAAATGTAATTCACATATCTACAATATATTCATTCAAAGTATTCATTCTTTTTTTCACAACTTTATTGTGTATCAGTTTCATGTTGGTCTGTTTACAAGGTTATGTAGCTATCACTAATTTCAGAACTTTTAAACAAGCTTTTAAAGAGAAAATTGACCTTTTAAAGAGTGAAGTTAGTATATTCATACTGTTGTACAGTCACCAACCCTATAAATTCAAAACATTATCATCATTGCAAAATAAAACCCTGACTCATTAAGTAATCATGCCAATCCCCCTCTTGCCATCCCTGCCTATTCCTTGGAAAACATGCTTCTCTTTCTAAAGATTTATAAATCGTGGATATTTTAAATAAATAAAATTAATATGTGGCTTTTTGTGTATGATTTTTTTCACTTAGCATAATATTTTCAAGGCTATCATATTTATATAAGTATGTATCCAAATTGCATGGATTTTTAAGGCTAAATAATATTTCACAATTTGTTTATCTATTGATCAGTGGGTTTTGGTTTCTTTCCACCTTCTGACTAATAGTGAAATATGCTGCACTGAACATTCATGTGTGAGGATTTGGATACTCTATTTTGTGTTTGAACCTGGGAGTGGAATTTTGGTAGCATAGGTAATTCATTTTTACCTTTTTGAAGAACTACCAAGCTATAATAAATAAGGGCTCACCTTTTACATTTCCACCAGCAAGCAGTGTACATTGGTTTAGATTTTTCACATCCTTTCCAGTAGTTGTTCTTTTTTGTTTTTGTTTTGTTTTTAATTATAACCATCTTGTGACTGTGAAGTGTGGTATTTTATTGTGGTTTTGATTTGAAATTCTTTAATGACTGACCTGAATATCTTTTCACGTGGATTTAAGCCATTTGTTTTTGTTTTTCAGAGTCTCACTATGTAGTTAAGATTGCCCTTGAACTCACTATGTAGCCCAGGCTGGCCTCAAACTCATGACTGTCCTCCTGCCTCCTAAGTGCTGGGACAGGTGTGCACCACCGTGCCCCACCTGGCCATTTGTATTCCTTCATTACTCCCATTTTCAAATTGAATTATTTTTAGTGTTAATTTGTGAGAATATTTCTACACTCTGGATCCTGTACTCTCATCTGGTACATGATTGACCAATATTTTCTCCTATTTAGCTTTTTTTCATTTTGTTTGTAATGATCTTTGATGTGGAAGAATTTTTAACTTTGATGAAGTTCAATTTTTTTCTTTTGTTGCTCATGCTTTGCTGTCATATCCTTCAGATGGTTTGCTGCTCCACTATTTTTCTCTGAGAGTTTTTTATTTCTGTTTTATATATATGGTTTATAATCCATTTTGGGTTAATTTTTGTAAATGAAGTAAAAATGAACACAACTTGTTGTATTTGAATGTGAATATCCAAGTGTCCCAGCACCACTTCTTCAAGAGACTTTTCTTTTTCTCCCTCAGTGGTCTTGCTATTCTATAGAAAATGACTTGGCCATAGATTTATGAATGACTGACTTTCTCCTCCCACCCCATTTTTCTTTCTGATGTTGAGAATTGAGCCCAGGGCCTCCTGCATATCAAGCAAGCACTCTGCCACTGAGCTACATCTCCAGTGCTAATTATGGTTTCTTCATTATATTCACCCTAGACTTTCAGTCCACTTTAGACTCTCAGTATGTCTGTTGTTGTGCCAGTACCTCATTGTTTTGACTGCTGTGTATTTACTACTGTGTGTTTTAAAGTTGGGAACTGTGTGTCTTCTAATTTTGTTCACTTCCAATATTTTTTTTTATTGTTCCAGGTCCTTTGCAAAAACCATACGAAGTTGATGATCAGCTTTTCTCTTTCTGCAGCATCTTTCTGAAATTTGATTATTTTCTTTTTTTATAAACTTTAAATGATTTTAAAAATAGATACAGGATTATGCATCTGTGACTAAAGTTAGCTTTTTCTCATGTGTGCATTTAAAATTGCCGCTTTTTTTGTCTAATGACTTTGGTTAAGTCTTCCAGAATTATGTTGAATAGCAGTGGTAGAAGTAGTCATATTTCCTTGCTTTTGATCTTAGTGGGAGAGGTGGTCCTTTACCATTGAGTATGATTTTAGATGTAGGCTTTTCTTTTCTTTTTTTGATTTTTTTTGAGAAAAGATCTATCTATGTAGCTCAGGCCGGCCTTGAACTCACTGTGTAGTCCAGCCTGTGTGGTGATCATCAGCCTCAGCGCTGGGATTACAGGCATGCACTATCGTCTCCAGCCCTGTATGATTAAATGTTCTTTTTTATGTTGGGTAAAGACCATTGCATTCTTAGTTTTTTAGTTTATTCTCTTTTGTTTTTTAGCCATTTGGATTTTGTTAAGAAATGCTTTTGTGCATCATTTGAGATGTTATGTACTTTTAATATGTTTCCCTGTTTTTGTTATATTCATCCATCCTTAGATTCCAGAGATAAATTCTGTTTGTTCATGGTGTGTAGTCCTTTCAATAATGTGTTGAATTTGTTCTGCTAGTACTTTGTTTCATTTAATTTTTCATTTTGTATTCATAATGGGATATGAAGTTTTAGTTTTCTTATGTTTTCATCTGGCATTGGTGTCAGAGTAATGCTTGCCTCAAGGGATGAATTAAGAGGTATTTGTCCTTCTAAAATTTAGAAGAATTTGAAATTGTTATTAATTCTTTATAGTTTGTAGAATTCACCGGGGAAGCCAATTCTTCCTGGAGTTTTCTTTTTTTGGGAGTTTGCGATTACTGCCTTACTCCTTACTAGTCACAGGTTTTATAAAAAAAGATCCTTAAGGTTTATAAGTAAGGCTTATAAGTTATAGTAAGTTTTACAAAAGGTTTTTAAGTCATTATAAGGTTTTACTTGCTATTATTTATCTGATTTTCTATTTATTCTTGAGTCAGTTATTGTGATTTATGTGTTTCTAGGAATTTATGCAGTTCATTTGGTTATCTATTTTGTTACTATACTATTTCTTACAGTATTTTCCTGTAGTCCTTTTTTGTTCCTCTAAGTTCTGTAATAATGAATTCACTATAATTTCTTCTTTATTTTTATATGCTCTCCTTTTTTCCTTCATTAGATAGAAAATTTAGGTATGTTGTGTTCAAATTAATAACTTCGATTTCTTTCATTTTTGTATTGTCATTCTCTATTTCTATCTGATATGTATTATTTGATTCCTTCTAAAGAGTTTTGGCTCTTTTCTCTAGATTCTTAAGATATAAAGTAAGGTTATTGAATTGATTTACATTTGGCTCTCTATATCCAAGGGTTTCACATCCATAGATTCAATCAAATGTGGATCAAAATTTTATTTAAAAAATTGTATCTAAACTTAACTTGTATGGACTTTTTTCAAGGTATTCTTTAAACAATATAATATAACTGTAACATGTACATTAGGTTTTGTAGGTGATCTAGATTTAAAATATACAGGAGATGTATGTAAATTATATGTAAATACTGTGAAAGGTCCTGGAACCAGTCTGTCCTGGAGACCAAGGGAAGCAGAACTGTATGTTTGTGTACTATGGATGTTCCTTGACTTACCATGGGGTGATGTCTCTCTCTATAAGTTCATTATATTTTGAGAATATCAGAAATATATTTGATACACCTAACCTACAGAACACCATACCTTAATCTAGCCTTCTTTACATGTGCTCAGACCAATATCTTAGGGTACAGTTGGCAGACTTACCTAACCCTAAGCTTGTTTTATATTAAAATCATGAATGTCTCAAATAATTTCTTGAATAGTTCACTAAAACTGAAAAACAGAATGGCTATATGGGTACAGGAGACATAGATGGATGTTCCATGTAATGTATCACATGGGGGATGTGATATACAAAATACACTGAACACAATATACTGTAGGGTATCAATTCTTTGCCTCATGGTGTCATATTTACTTGGGAGAGCTGTGTATCATTAGTATGGGAAAACATCAGAAATTTAGAATATGATGTCTGGTTTCTTCTGAAACAAACCACTTTTGTTAGTTTCTTCTCAAGCTGTTTTAAAGATTAAAAGTCATAAATGAAATTTCATAACTCAGGGACTATCTGTATAGGCATTTACATATAAGAATTTCCTTTTGAGTACTGCTCTGGATACATTGCATATATTTTGGCATGATGTATTTTGCTTTATTTTCATTCATTTTCCTGAAGCTACTTTCTGATTTGTCCTCTTCGACTGTTTAAGAATATTTTAATTTTCATGTA